AACTCATCAATACAGTTCATTGTATAGCGAAACACGTGTCGCGGTTTTTGTAAAACCTCTTATAGTGAAAATCATACAATAAACTGTATCAATGAGATTAAATGTGAATTTTCATCAAGTATCGGCCAGTTCTATTAAATTTCTTTGGAGTTTACGATTGTATGAAAGCGAAACTCACAGGGTAATTGATCATAATGTTGGGGTGCTTTAAAAGCAGCAGGTGAAAATGGAAGATTTGTGATTGGGGATGTATGTTGGTGAGTAGATGCAGTGTTTTCAACTCTCAACCATCCTGATTTTTAGATACCAAACGAGAAACGTAGACACAGCTATTCTGAATATACTGTAGACGAAGAGCATTTGATTGTCTCAAAATAGGTCCACAAAAACTGTCGCAACAAGACATTTTTGACATGATCAGTGACTCGTTTTAGGTTTGTGTTAAGCAAATCACGATTTGTAAACAGCTGACTGAGGGCTTTATAAAAATTCTGATTCAGATAGCTGATACCCTTAGTCATGAAGGGACTTATTTCATTTTCGATGCGGATGAAAAGTGAAGTTGGTGAGCTCTCTGTTCTCCTCAGATCCAAACATCATGATTGCAAATTCATCAGGATTGAGCTTATGGGTTACAGGAATGTCGAATATGGATTGGAGATCATTATTAATATATAACTGAGCAGATGTAGAACCACATGCGGTAAAGAGAAATATAACTGTGTCGTCTGCATAGTAATGTATAATGAATTTTTTTACAAACAAATGGAAATCACAGACATGCAAGCTAAAAAGCAAGGTCTGAAAGATATATCCTTGTGGCACTTCCTTTGATACCGTTAGAGCGTCCGGTACAACTCCATCCACAACAATTCTTCGAGTACGATTCTTCAGACAGTTTCCTGGGAGTGATACTGATTCCCGAGAAAAACCAAAGAAGACCCGTGATCAAGACTGTTGAAGGCTTTGCTATGATCCAAAGCTATTGAAAAGGTCAAATTCTCATCATAAACAGCTTTGAAAAAATCGTCGGTAATTGAAGAGCCGTGATGATACTATGCTGAAATCTGAATTCTGATTGTACAGATATTAGGAAATGATTTCCACTGACATGATTATAAAAAATGATCTCTCACTATCAATTTCACTACCTAAGAGGGACACGGGAGAATTGCAATTGGCCTCAGGTCAGAAAGGACTATAGGTTTATTTACACTTAGTCAGAAGTAAAACCAATTCATCTTTCCGAACGTTTGGAAATTGGCAACTGGTAATGATGGAGTTTATGAGAAAAGCGGAGTGGTTTATCATAGAAAAATCGATGAGATTGCTCATTTTGAGGGATATCCGTTTCAACCCAAAGCATTGCTTTTGATGCGTCTTAGGGAGCTTTGCACTGGTGATTGTAGAGAAATGAGAGGAATTTCATTATTTCGAATTAACATAACGATTTGATAAGGATAATTGTGACCATACCTGATAGGTTGAGGTATGGAATTGAAGTGCTGGTTAATGAGATTCACGTCTTTTGATTATTCAGGGATATTTGAATATTCATTATTTCACACTACATGTATAATTTCTGAGTTCCTTGTAACTGATCCAATCGGCGAGCTTTGACGAATTTCTGTACTTAATCAGAGGTTGGTTCTTGAGTGAAATCATTATCTTTATATAGTGAGTTGACCAAAGTTCTGGAGGTTAAGTTACTCTCTTCGTTTGAAAAGGCGCATGTTTTTCAAAAAGAATGGATATGTTGTCGTTCAGAAAAAATACCATGCAATCCACATCATCGGATTGATAGATAAGATCCCACTGAACATTCAGAAAGTTTGAGCAGAAGAGATCAAAATCGAAGTTACGATAATCGAGAAAAGACACCATCAAAACTCTTCTATAAAATAATGTAGCAGATCACAAATGAGATATGTTAGAGATATGACTTCACTTCTTACGGTACTGTCCCACATGAAATTATTGAAGGCTCAAATATATTCGAAGATAATAAATGCTAGAGGTAGGCAGATTATTGATTTCATGGATAATAATTCATTTTGTGTGTTGAATGGTAGAACATCGTTAGATACACCGGGTCAGTTTACATATATCAGCAAACTGGGAAAGAGTGTTGTTGATTTGGCATGGGTAGACAATATGTACGGACTTGAATAATTTTAATGTTGATGAAGAAGACTTTTTGTCTGACCATTTCTCCATAAATATAACTTTGAACTTTAGTATAAAGACTCTGATCCTTCAAACAATGTTAATCTGTGCATGAAGTTAAACTGGTAAATGAGTTTTATTCAAATTACAAATTAGGAATGAATCCGTCAAACCGAGCCAATTTTATTGCTGAGCCTGATGAGTCCTTTTTTAATCTAATTGAAGCCATACGCGGGGTTACTGCTATTTTGGGCCTTGTTTATGATGAAAAACATAATCAAATCAGGAGATTAGGAAAAAATAAGCCACTGCAGAACACCATGCAAATAGCTTTGAATCAATGTTAGAAACATAATTTTCCAGAAAATCTGAAAACAAACTATACAGAGTGTAACTGAATAAGTGTAAAACATTCAAGGAGGTGATTCCTCATCGAAAAAAAAATATGATATTTCATATAGAAAAACTTCATTGGAGCATCCCTTGTTAAGATACAGCCCCTTAAAGGGGGTACATAAAATTTGTATAACAATTTCTTTCACAAGCACTGAAAAAGTTACAATATTGAAATTAACCTGACATTTTGTACTACCAAAAAGACACTTAGCCATTGGTTGTAAGGGATGGAAAACGCAACCCCTAAAATTTATTTTCATTGCAACTTTTTGTCTTATCATTTGTTTACCATTTAAAAATTCATTTCCGATAGCCTGTTTATTGTAAACAAAAAATGTCTCTTGGGTTTTTTGCCCAAAATAAACCAGTTCGCAACAAAAAATTATTTTACGAACAACTACACTGATACATCGTCATAAATGCGAACTGGATTTACTGTTATTTTGTAGTTAGTACCTACATTAAACGATTGAAGGGTAATAAACAAAACTAATTTATCAATAACAAAACACACAACATGTAGAAATCATAGTAAACGTTCAATATGTCTACCTTCAAACATTACGCATGCGTCTAGACGTCGGCGCATTGAGCCACGTATTTGCTCAAATATTCCTGGAGTCACTTTGATTACCCTGCACGCATCGATGATGCGATTTCTTAAGTCGTCTACATCGCGAACAGGAGTATGATGAACTAAATGCTGTAAATGGCCCCAAATACAGGAATCCTGTAATTATTAACTGCTTGATCGCGTAAATCTACCCCACCCATAAATGTATTATAGTTTTGTAAAATACTGGGTTGCTGTATATCAATTTTTTCTTTATCAACTGCCGACCAGCGTTTTATGTGACGAATAGGTTCTAGTGTATCATAGTTTGTAACCATGGTCACTGTATTATTGTCCTGCCATCTAATGAAAAGGAGGGCTGAATTTATGTCATACATGTGTTCAAAGTAACCCCTTTTCTTTTTTATTAAATAGTTTCACATTCGACAAAGGACATTTTCTAGTTCTGTTATCCCTTACTGTACCTGTAGCCCGTTGACCCTGATCTTTCAGTGTTTTCAACAATGCGTGACTACTGAAATAATTGTCAAAGAAGATAACATGATCGGAAGGTATCGCAACTGATTTCAGGAGATCCAGAACAACTTTAGAACCTAGGCAAATCAGTTGCTCCAGCAGATTGCGACTAGTTCTTGGCACCACAGTAGTTGTCAAATGCGTAGCAATACCCAGAAGAGCTACAGAGCATCCATTTTTTGTATCCGAACCGAACTGGCTTGCCTTTGATATACTGTTTATCGAAATGGCGACCAAATTCACCATAACTTCGTCTACCGATAGATTTTCATCAAAAATGCCCCATTGCCTATATTTTTGATTGAGGAGAGATATCAGAGGACGTAATTGAGCCATCTTGTCATTCCTATCTAAATTATTATTATCTGCCAGATGAACGTATTTCTTGATTTATTGAAACCTGTTACGTGACATGGCATTTTGAATGACATACTCTTAAATCTTCAACAAGACTCCAGTAATTTCGTTCACTTGGCAAATTTGTGGTATCCTGTAAGGAGAAGAATTCCTACTAAAATTTTCATATCAGCCTTTGAAAAGAAGAAGGCATGTTCATTCTTCTGAGATGAATATAAATTGGTTTGATGTACTAGAAGATCAAATATTTCCTCGTCGAACAGTTTTTCAAAGACTGCTATAGGCTCTAGATTTTCTAAATCATTTTTAACGATATCGAAGCGATCTGCATATCCCGATGTTGCTGGCATGTGAGTGTCCACATGTTCCTTAGTCCACTTGGGTTCCAACAGTAATTTTTTTCTAGGACGTTTGGTTGTGGAAGATGAAAGTTTTTGACGCAGAACTGAAAATCGTATTCTTCGTCACTGGTTTCATTGACGCTGCATATGTGCTGAAGTTCAATTCCACCGGCTACATCATCACGCACAAAATATGGATCTTCTTGGGTATAATCATCATTGAATTCTTCGTCATTCGTCTGTGGTTCTGCACCCGGCGGAATAACAACAATATCAATAACATTATGACTGCTTGTGGAGGCAATATCTTCTAAGGCATGTAAATGAGGCAGTAAATGAGGCTGACGCACGACAAGTCGATTTTATACAATATTTACCAGCTGTATGCACTGTTTCAGTTACCAAAAGCGTGTCATTGTTGACAAAATTACGCAGAACTCACTGTAATATGGTTTCCATTCATGAATTCGAAGAAAACTGTATAAAGAATAAGTATAGATGTTCGAAATTTTGAAATATTCCAATAGATGAACTCACTTCGCGGCTTTTGCTTCCGTACTCATTTGAGTACATTGGGATATAATGAAATTGCTAGAGTGAAACTGGATGCGTGCTCAACAACAGCATCTTACAGCAATAACAATACTCACTTATATCTATGTGTTTTATCAAGTATGATGCCTGTTAGGATCAATCCGCCAAAACCAGCAGTTTTCATCAGCGACCCCATTTTTCCAGCGTCTTCTTGGGCACCCTATGCGATTTCAAATACAAAATGATTTTTAAATATTTTCGAAATTTTCTGAGAGTTTGATATGAAGAAAAATGGATATGAACGTGGGATTTCAATAAATAAGTATGAATTGTTTCATTTCATTCGTAATTTTCTCCTGGAAATGATTTTTTCTAAAGATAGCTCCAGTTTCATCCCCAGAGTAGGTGGTAATTTGTTGACTGATCACAACAATCTTTGTGATGTGACTGGATGCAGTGTCTACTGTTCAGAAGACTAATCCGAAGTGAACTTTTGTGATCATTTGGTGCAGTTTTTTCTGTCCATATATTTCAAAAATTTTCCTCAACGATGAATCATTTCGGAATCGTGGATTAGCAAATGCAGAATCCAATGACCCAAAAAAGGGCCCGAGGGTTCTTTCAAATTAGATAGCCTTTTAGAGTTCGAGTCAGCAGTCAAAACACTTCAGACATAACATCTGGATCATAAAAACCCAGATGATTGCTAAGCATCAGCAGTCAAAATTTAAGAATGAACACTTCGGACATATCTCAATCATGAAAACCCAGATGACTGCTAAGCATTCTAGTTCAGTGGTACAATATTTTATCTCACATGAAATAGGCCTTCGAATAACACGGGCGAATCCTTATTCACTCGAAGTCTTGTTCTAAAACGGCCCACAGCGCCTTTTGTTTTGCATCGGTTTGAAAATTCATCGCATAGTATAAAAGCAGAAACAAGACATTACAAAAGATCTAAGAAACCTTTTCAGCTTCTCTTTCCAATTTCCATTTCTTATTTTCTCAAGTTAATCAAGTTGGCCACAGGATACACTATTTTGAACAAGTTGGATAAAAAACACCGATACCATTCAGTTCATTCGAAATGAGTGCCATTTGAATGAGTGCACTTTTACGAATATTGTACAAGTCGAATAACTCAGTCAGGATAGTCAGCATGAAAATTGGGTGACCGGGATTTGATAAAATCGACAAAGGCCGTTTTTGCCTGATCCTGATTAGCGAATATACTACCGGTGAGAAAGTTATCGAAGTGCTTGGAAAGATGGTGGTCATTTGTCGAGAGGTGTGTGGAGTATGTTGGGTGAGCGGAGCTCTTACGCTCAATTCGTTTAAATTTTGGACGGTGATATGTTGGGAAGTGCCTGGGTGACACATTGGTGTTCAACCACTGTCCTGAATGTCTCTTGTTGTCGTAGAAAATCCACTTTTCATCACACGTGACGATCCTATCCAAAAATGATCGTTTGGTTACACAAGAGCAAGAAGAACAGATCTCAAAACGTGACAATTCCTGTAGATCGTTTTAAACGAGTTTTTGATCATCTCAATACGTTTTGAACCATCAAAAACCGCATGGAAGCTGACGGCCAGTTCTTCCGCTATTGCGCCCACCATTCGTGATGGGTCAGTCCCCACCAGGGTTCTCATATCTTCGGCCTAGATTACTGTAAGTTGACTCATCTTCGAGGCTGAAATCTTCAGAACGAAAATTAGCAAACAAACGTCGATCAGGGCGTTCATTAACACCTGCATTGCCTAATGCCTGGTTGATTTTCCAAGCTGTTTCGGCAGCGCTTTGCTTCAATTTGAATTAGTAGACGACATCATATAGTGATAAGCTGAAAAGTGGCAAAACATTCGAATTTGGGGAAAAATCAACAGCATCAATGTATAGAGTACAAAATTATCCATCAATAAATATATACCACACAGTAGAATGGATATTTTTTTGGGATACGGAGCTACAGAAACACATGACAATGATATAGACAAAACTTCTGCGTCATTCAAAATTGGTAGAGATGATGCAAGTTTCATTTGTTTCAATAGATCCCGCTCAAGCGTTGCCAAGTTGAAGAAGCACTGTGGAGACTGAAAAGTATTCTGGCAAATTACCTTCTTGGAACTACAAAAGCCTTCTTCCCCTACTTTATTCCGGTAGAGGTGTCTTCCGATAGGTACTTTGAGATCGATTGACAAATATTTGTTTTGTACGATTCAAGATCAAATATATAAACGAGATGGCGGATACATCGTTATTCAAGACCTAATTAACACTCGATAATCTACTCAAGAAGTATACTCAGTAAGTATACTTGCAATCATACTTTTTTTCAAGTTCAACCACTAAAGATATGGTCTTTAGACCATATCTTAGACCGAGACCGATGGTTCCACCATACCAAGAGATAGCATTTTATCTGACTCATTGTGAGTTGCATATAAATCCAATAACAGAATTGACTCATTAACCTTTTTCCAATCACTAGGTATTGCATACTACTCAATTTTGGAGCATTTATAAATCATCAAACTCAGTCCACTAAATTCGGGTCTATCATCAGTTCTATCAAAGAATCAGTTTTTCTGCATCCATACTATGATCATAGACCATATTTATAGTATTCCTAAACTCACTTTTTGATCGATGAGGTAATGAAATTTTTATTCATAAATTCTGAAAAATGACTGTTTTTCAGAATTTATGGTTTATAAAATTTCTCCAGTGAACGTCAAAACTCTCAAATCATTTCGAAAAGATATTCACAATATTTTCCTTCAGAGTTGTTGTTTTTATTTCTGTCTTGATATTTCTGAGTGTTGTATCAATTGATAATTTTATTATTAATAATAATAACCAACGTCTTTATCATTCTCACGTATTAGATACTATTATAATTTTTTTTACATATTTCACATATAGAAATAAATATAGAAGGTAAAGAGAAAAAAAATAAGAAAGTGAAGTTTACAGAGGTTGCTATATTGAGTAGCAATACTCAAACTCACTCACGTAAAGTAACTATCTGATCCACTGATATCGTTTATTCATGATGAGTAGATGAGTAAGTATATACAAATGATATGGTGTAAAAAAAGATGATACTCAAATGAAAACAATGACGAAAATTAGAAAAAGAAAGAATGACTGCACTCCTGTTTTATCTTCTTCATTATATATTCTGGTGATTGGAAGTGAAAATGATCGTTTGAAGGTTTCTGTAATGAAGACTGGAGGAGTCAAAATACCTTCGAATCTCACATTCAAATTGTGTATGTTGGAACGAAAAGTAATTTTTCTGTGTAGATAACAGAGGGTTCTATTCTATATGAAAGAGATTCGCACTATGTAGATGTCTCCTGTCAGCCATATTCATGAACACTATATCTTGATGATCAATATATTGGGACTCACCGGGAAGTAACTCAAGACAAACTGATTCAGAAGTGTTCCATTTACTGAATATATTCCCAGGATACATCCAAATGCTATGCTGTGTAAGTAAAATGCTTTATTATTCATCAGATGTTTGAATGATTCCAAAAATGAGGACATTGTGACTTTGTTTCTCTGATTTCTCTTCTCAAACATTGCCATGCTTGGTGGATTCAAAGGTCTTTCTGGAAAGTCTAGAAAAAATAAATAATATGCACTTCAGAGATTATATCGTGAAAGTGTTGAAATCACAATGCTCGCTTTTTTTCCCAATGATTCACGGACCACTGGTTCTCAACAAACCCCATATTTGGAAATGTTCCACACATAAAAAGATTATCTATGATCAAAGTCAATAGATGAGTAATGATGAGTGAAAAATTGCCATGAAATTCTCAGAACATTAGGAGGAACTGGCTTGAAAGACATGTTCAAGTCAACTGTCAGTTGTCATGTCAAAGTAAAATGTGGGAAGGAACGAAGTGCTTTCAGAGCATGGAATTATATTCATTTGTACCAAATCCAATCTGCCTATTTGATGTCGTCGCCGTTGTGTTGATAGGTTTGTACATCTCAACTTTCGATAACAGATATTGAATGACGATAAACTCTTGTGATGCATTAGACTAATAGATTCAGAAAATATAATAGTGATAAGAGATCAAATTTTCCTTCATTATTTTCGAATATCGCGATCATACAACCGCAATTAGGCTGTCATTCTCGAATCATTGCACCTGATCAGGGAATATGAGCATAGAACCCAGTAATTGCTCATCTCACGGTTGTGGGGAGTTGTCATCGATCGGTGATGCCTGCCCTTCACTGAAATCTAAGAGTGTTCATAGAAAGAAAATATATACCGATAGATACATCCAAGACACATACAAAATCGGGCTATGTTGAAAAAAGTATAATGATTTCTCTTCATAAAAGAGCGAAAACGATTTGTATTACTGCGGATATTCTACAATAAATGCAGTATAGAGTAGAAAGTCATATAACAACCAGATAGCTCTACTAACAGTCCAGTAACTACCTACACCTTTCACAACCAACGTCATACCGTATAGTTCAGGATCGAAATTGTCAGAACATATTTATAGAAGTAATCATCGAGTAGAATGGAATAAAACTGGAATAATCGCCAATGAATGCAAAGAAGTGCAAACTCAAAGAATCAGCATATATTCTTATATCTGATGAGAATTTCATATCATAGTTCTTTGGATATTGCTCGTACTCGGTTCCCCATCTTGAAGAAAGATGTAGAAATTGGCGAATTGGAAACAAACTGATATCTGAGAACACCATGTACTATATCAAATATTTAAAAAGTCAATCAACAAATACACACCTTTGAGATGAGGAATAGTTGGTTTTGAATTCTGAAAACGAAGACATATTCAGGTAATCGAAATGTCAACAAAAGTACCTTATGGAATCATTAGTTTCTTTTTTACATAGACAAAATTATCAAATACATGGAAAACAAAACACTAGTTCAGATTGACTAATGATAACAGTGAGTTATCCATTGCAAGTTTTCCATTGCTATTTTTTTTCAATTTGAGAAAGCTAAAAAGTTGAAAAAAAAATGTATATATCTTTTCCATAAACTTTCGTAATGGTGACTACTTTCAATCTATTTTCTGAAATTCCATCTATCGATAATATTAAAAATGTTGAGATCAACAGCTGAAATTTTTCGTTGAAGATGGTCCATATTTCAAGTAATTCAAAACCACCATACTTACAGAAAAATACGATGGGCACTAATGGTAGTGAAAGAAGGAATACACCCCAATTCATCACTCTGAGATCGGCAGCAATTTCATCCATATTGTCGCTGTCTTTTACTATTATCGGAAGGACATAGTAGCTAATTGCAGTTCCTGATGTCATCCCAAGTATACCTAGAGAGCACACTGTTGATATCTATAATTCAAAACAATTCGATTACAACTTTAATCTTGTCGATAATCGATCTTTTTTTGTGGTCAGAGAGCGAAGAAATTCCATGAACTCCACCAGTTCAAAACACCTCGACACGTGTTTCAATCACCAAGTTTAGTGCTGGGAAAAAACTCTAGTAATATTCATTACTTCACCAAAGGTTACAGACAGTGCATCACAAGTTTGTACATCAGACAAATGTAATGGTTTCAAAAAAATATCATTCACGGAAAAGTTACATCATGTATAATATATAGTGTGTCCCAAAATTTGTCCTACAAGACATGTGAAGGACTGAAAAATTTTTCAATTTTATTTTGAGATTGAGTTATGCTTGGTAATGAATGATTTTTAGAAATACCTTCAGTTAGTTGAAACCAGGAAACCTTGATAGTGAAGCAATGAGGTAAAATATGGATCCATACATATTAAGTTTCGAATGAATGAAATAAATGTTTCCCTCACAAATAAAATATTCAAAGAAAGGAATGATGTTATTGATTTACTCGTGGAAAATCATAAGAAGTACCTATCAGAATCATTTGTGAGTTGATATAAATTATTTTTCTCAGTATAGAAAGTGGAGCTTCAATCGAATATTCTTGTTCAATGTGGGTAGCTATTCCTCCACCTACGTCCCTGAAAACATACCAGACAGCGCTTGTGAATCTTGCCACTGTTTTCTTGGGTCACCGTCGATCTTTGACTTCGTTTTTTCCAGGTGAAGCTGCGGCTCCACCCTAGAAACTGAGTTAGAGTTATACTTTCGGGATCGTGACATCTGATAGAATAATGTCAATGGTCGCTATGAACTCTATTCTCTGCTTCAACGACTTCAACTTCGAAAGTCTGTCTTTCAAGGTAACTCTCAGTGCTGCCTTCACTAATTTCACTAACATTTTCCGGATACCTCCCATGTGTGGTAAAGCAGATTATTTATTCGGTATATGAAAACTTTCCTATTCCATTCATTTAAAAATTTCTCAAAGGATTCATCAATCGCTCTTCTGTGGAACGAAGATCTGAACCGTTGTCTGCATGGATTCTTCTTGGATATCCTCGTCTTCAGATAGATCTTCGAATAACCATAATTGCCGAATCGGTGTTCAAGGTGTTGGAAATTTGTACAGTTCTTATGCTCATACAGGTGAAAAGCACAATGTACCTTTACCCATGTCGCTAACCGATGGTACTTATATCTAAGTGTGAATCTGGCTAATTCAGTTGCAGGTATAGGTATGGAGTAGCGGATGACACTGGTGCAGAAAAAACATTTGGCTCCTGGAGATGAATCGACGAATCACAATTTGTATTTTCAATAATTTTACCTCTGAATTAATAATAATGACGGATTTTTAAAGGAATCTTGATGATTCTCAGTTGCCAACCGGATTTAAAGAAACTTTTCAATAAATTTTATTCATGATCATTTGAAGATTTGTCAACTAGTTCCTTATATCTGTCATACAAATATCCAAATCATTGTCTCTATTAGAATTATTTTCGCTTGTTCTCCAATATGCCCTGGCCGAGGCATCTTCATTAAAAAGATTTTCTCCAGGTTTGAAAATTGATTTGAAATACATTTTTTGTAGTTGTATCATCATCTTCTGCAATCTTGACGGATATGATGTGGGAGGCTTTTTGAAAACACCTAATAAAAGTTATGATCACTCTACTTCGAATGTTCGACCAGATACAAATTTATTGAAAAGTTCACAACGAAAAAGTATTGCATGAATGTCTTTTTCTATTGGGACCCATCTTTTCTGCGATTCCGGAAGAGCTCTCGGAGTGTAAGCACAGGGCAGATTATTTTGCAAAAGGCAAGCCACCACTTCATCTTCTGAAGAATCAACCATTATTATTACCGTACTTGTGATGCACTGTTTGGAACCTTTGGTGTGATGATGAATAATATTGGAGTATTTTTCTCAACACCAAACCATTATTTCAATACCTTGACACGTGTTCCGATCATCAAGCGATCATCTTCAAGAGCAGGATCAAACCAATCATACTTACAAAGCTATCCTCATTTATACCATAAATATCTATTCTAGGTACCTGCGTCTTGAGTGTCTTGAATTAATTTTACAATTTGCCTTATCTACTGGTCTTGAATTAATTTTTCGATGTGTCCTTATGTAATAGTCAGGTGAATCTAATAGATGAAATATTATTTCAACAAGCTATATAGTATACTATTAGGTATTGGTCCACCATCGTTATTCATAATATTATTATGTTTACTTATTTCTACACTCTCATAGGCATCTAGTTGCCTGTTGTTGTTAACTTGTCCAACTAATCTCAATGAACTGAAGTCTATGGAATGGTTTTGTTGCAAAATATGATGAGCGACTGCCGATTTTTCAGGTCTTTCATATTTCAAGTGTGCTAAGTGTTCCTTATATCTCATTTCAATAGATTTTTTTGTCTGTCCATAATATTTTGCATAGCAGTCCTCACATTTAATTTCTTAAACTCCAGACTTTTTCGAGTTCTCGACTTTGTCTTTTGGACTTCCTAAAGGGCTCTGTAGTGTATGTGAGGTGGTTTTTGAAACAAGTCATGTCAAAATAACGGTTTGGTGTTGGGGGAGAAAACAGTAAGATTCAATATTATTACCGAATTATTCACATCATCAAATTGCAACAATGGCAAGGAAGAAAGGTGGTTTGAAAAAAAAAAGATATTTTAGTTTCAATCAC